TATGGATGAAATATTTTTAAATACTTTCTTTAATGTAAAAACAGATTCATGGTTCTAATGTCATTTATTAGTGTGAATTTAATCAAGTTACTTAAATTTTCTGTGACTTTATCTGTGAAATACACATAATGATCCCTAACCTGATAGATCTGTGATGAGACTAATTAATTAATAACATATACAGCTGTTCTCACAGAGAGTAAGTGCTTAAAGTGCTTAATATTAGCTATAATTTGTATTTCTTCCATAAACTGTTAAACTTTCCACTGGGAGGTTATAACACAAATATCAATTGGTTAGTTCACAGCACCATCCCCCCTCCTCCCAACTTTGTCAACCAAAAAAAAAAAAAAAAAAAAAAAAAAGGGTGGGGGGTGGGGGGGAAGAGGATGCATCCCAAATGGAAGTGGGTATTGGGAGTAAATAGGCTGATATTTCTCTTTCTTTCATAGTCTCTCTTGGTGAGAAATGAAAGCAAAGAAAAAGAAGCCACTAAGTTATTGAAATAGCTATTTATAAAATACTCATCTGTACTCAGACTATGCTACTCATATTTTACAGGCATTTCCAAAACAGCTCTCCGTGTCATGGTTTTCAGGCTATAACTAATAAAGGGGGTTGTTTTTAAACCCTGTGTTCTAGGAGCTGAGCCAGAGACCTTCAGCAGCCTATTGTATTTAATCTCTGGAAATCATTATGAGGAAGCATATTTGTTTTTTATGGCTGTAAATAATAACCACAATCTTAGTGGCCTGAAACAAAACAAATTTATTTCCTTACAGCCCTGGGCATCAGAAGGGCAAACTCCGTTCCACTGGACTGAAAACAACACGTTGGTAGGCCTGGGTTTCTTCCAACATGTCGGAAGGTCTGGTCTAGGGGTGAACTGGTTTCCTGCCTTTTTTGGTTTCTAGAAATAGAATCAATTCTTCAGTTTGTGGCCCTGTCCTTCCTCTTCAAACTCATCATCCAAAACTGTTTCAAACTTGATATCTTCTCTTTATTACTCTGCCCATCTACCTCCCATATACATATAAGATTTCCTCAGTTACACAGGACCCACCTGGAGAATCCAGAATAATCTCTCCATTTTAAATCCTGATTTTAATCACATCTCTGCAGTCCCTTTTAACATGTCAAGAAACATTATTACTAAATTCTGGGAATAGCACATAGCATCTTTGGGGATAAGGGGTTGATTTTCAGTCTACTGCAGGTAGACACTATTCTACTTATTTTGCAGGTGAGAAAAATATAATAATTATTAACTCCAATTGAGAAATACAATTCAAAGAGACTTAATAACTTGCCCAAACTCACCAAACTAAAAGTGGCCATTGACATACTAATGTGGGTCCTTCTGACCTTAATGCTGTTTCTACTACACAATTCTGCCCCCAAAGTAGGAAAGAAAAAGAAAAAAAAAGATCAAGGAAAGGTTCCTTAAGAGTATATTTTAAATTGTCTTATTGGTTAAAATACCTAAGTATTTTTATTGAATGGCTACTATATACTAGTATAAAAGACTCAATTTTAGATGCTGAGAGGATATACAATATGAATCAGCCCTAGTCAGCGCTAGTAATCCCCTATTTTAGCCATATTTCAATGCCTGGAACTCCTAATTCTACATCTACAGTCCTGGACAAATTCAAATATCTAACTGACAACTCTAATTTTGTGTTCTGTACAGTTTTTCAATTTGTCATGTCTGGATCCAAACTTTGGAATCCGTTCCCTGCAAATGAGTTTAATCTCTGAGCCTTCTCCACTTCAGGAAAGAGCATAGCCCTGCTTCTCTCCCTCTGAGCCCACAGCCAACAAATAATCTGATGCCTGAAATTCGTCTCAAAAACATAGCCTGGTTCTATTTCTCTCTCATTATTTTCATTACCCCCAGACTTCTATCTGGTATCTTCAGTTCCACTCTTATATTGCCTCGATCTATTCTCCATACACAAACTCCTCTGAACATAAATTGGATTATGTCAATTCCACAGTAGAATTCTTCAATATCTACCCACCTACCACATTTCAGGCATACCTTGTTCTGTGCAGGACATCTGTGTGCCTGTTGTCCTGGAGTAACTAGTAACAGAGCCTCCATTCACTTCTAACATTCTTCCATAATTCACATAATCCACCATATATTTTAGGGCTTTGTGTAATCTTTTCTCTGCTTATAATTTCTTCCCAGAGCCAAAGCCTTTTTCCCTTAGGACTCATTGGGGTCTGTCCTGGAGTCTCCCCCATAATTACTTTTCTTCAAAAGCTGAACCACAGTGTTTAATCTTAGACTTTATTGTTTTGTTTGCTGAATGTCTGCCCATGCTATTAGGGTATACAGAGAGAAGCAGACTCATGCTGATGTTGTTTACCCCTAGACACTTCAGTCAGCGTAGAACCTGGCACATGGTGGGTATCCACAAAAGATGGATTGAAGGATTAACGGCTAAGTAAACTTGCCATACAGTCAGGGAGTTATGCAAACACACAGTATGCCATTTAAATAATAAAAAAAATTGTTCAAGACACCAATGACCACAACTAATACAGAAGAGGAAGAATTACTTCTGTCCAAAGAGAGAGGTTGACTGGAGAAGGCACTATAAGGGGAGGAAGCGCAGTCGGTGCTGATGAGTAAAAGAGAAACTATGAAAAAGATTTCCAAGGAGAAGAGATGGCATTTGCAAAGGCAAAAAGGTTTAAAACAGTGACTATTTGGGGAACTCAAAGCAATGCTTTTTATTAGAGTATACAGTCTTGCATAAATGATATATTAATGCCATGTATCCCTAAGGACAAAGCCTAAATTATGGAAAAACACTGCAGGAAATATAGAGAGGCACTAAGAAATTTGAAACTTAGCTTTGTTTTCATGTACACTGCTAGGATGCTTTGAGAATTCTTATTGCATATTTAGCTCACCTTATGAATTATAGACATTCTTAGATAAGCAAATCACTTTTTGAAGAGTTATATTTGAAACTTCATTACCATAAAGAATCCTCCCAGTAGTGAGTTTGTCATGCAATATTCACAAAATGACAATACATAATCCATAAGAAGATATATTGAGATTTATGGTATATAAAACTAAACTGGGATTTCCCTTCAAATAATTCTTTTAGTTTTCATTTTAAGAGTTATCTCAAATTTCTTCTTTGAGATATGTATTCCTATTCATTCTTTGATTGCAAAAAAACAACACAAACAAACACAAAAAACAGGCTAAGACTACTAAATTAACACTTTCACATTTATATTACACAACTGCAATGACTATAACTGTATAATTTATAGAATATCAGGTCATATTTTAAAATATATTTTTATTGATTTCAGAGAGGAAAGGAGAAGTAGAGAAAATCATTGATTGCCGTCTCCTGCATGCCACACACTGGGTATTGAGCCTGCCACCCGGGCATGTGTCCTGTCCCAAAATCAAACTATGACCGCCGAGTTCATAGGTAGATGTTCAACGACTGAGCCATATGGGAAATCCAGTCATATTTTGATGTAAGAGTTAAAACAGTGAATCAAAACTCAACTCAGGGCTATATATCTAGAAGGAGAAATTTCTCAAGAAATATCCTTGGTATAGATAACCATAAATGGTTTCCTCAACATAAAAAATGTATACCAGAAATTGGATACTGGTGGACTGCAGGACATGAATGCTCTATTTGGCTCTCAGAGCAGTTCAAAATTTGAGTCAAGATTTAAATTTGGAGAAGTCACATAAACCATCCACCTCTAACCTCTCTTTAAAATAATTGAAAACTGAGAATACTGGGGGAAAACCAGTCTCCTATAGGGGAGTAGTTGTTCTTCAGTCATCAGAATCACCTACCCTGTCAGCCCAGGTTCTGAAATCCAGACCACTTCCCTCATGTGGTTACATACCTGAAACCTTGTGCCAGACCAATAAACCCCCCAACCATTAAAGACCAATTAGCATCATCAAAATGTCTAGGAAAGTATTAAAATTTTCACATTTTGAAATACTGAAAATAGCATGTAATTGTTATTTTCAAAAAAAAATCATCTAAAAATGGGACAATTAAGACATTTAATCTTTTCTTCCTTGGGTTTTGTTTGTTCACTAAATGGCACCAAAACAAATAAAAAGCCAAACAAATTTAGAACATATCTTCAACATAGGATATATCTTAAAGCCGATCTCTGTGAGGACCCAGAGACCAGGAAGCCCTCTTAACGCCCTCCTGCAGCTGAACCTATGACTTGGTTGTATTTTTTCAGATTTTCAAGAAAAATTTCACTTCACATAATAATTTCATACCTTACATTTTTTATTTTTAAATCATGAAATATGATAATGTTCTGGAGCATTTTAATGCACCAAAAATGTTAACAAGTTGCTATACTCACTTTTTAAAAAAAAGATTCACCACTCCACAAACAAACTTTTCTGGCCTGGGTCCTTTCCATGTCATTTTTATATTGCTTTTCTTTCCTTTTATATGCACAGCAAAATGTTTTATTAAGATATCAATTTGTATTTGATGCTTGCCTCTTCAGAATAAATTGAAAAATCTGTGTGTTTCTGTCTGAGCTCTTTTTGAAAGGGTGTTTAAGGGCTTTTGTGCAGTAGGACCTGAAATTGCAATTCCAAGGCACAAGGCTCACTTAGGTTTTGTTTGAGAAATTCACATATTTCTCTGGCCGGGGAGGTGAGGTGGAACGTGGTTTCCTTTTCCTTTTCCTTATCAAACACAGGTATATGTATTTCCCCCCTGGCTGGTGAGCTCTTTCTTCTGTCACCTGGTCACTATGCCAATCCAAAAATATATAAATATATCATGCCTTTGATCAGTGGTTGGAATATAAATGCTTCCCTATACTATATCTTTTAATTGCAAGCATAATATATTTAAATAGATAAAAACAACATGACATGTTTTCAATATCAAAACAGTTCAAGGTGAGGAGATATAAAGCTAGAAAGGCCATTGGCATAGGAAGGGGCGGGCACCTACCTTAGCTATCTGGACACACCAGTTAAGCAGCAGCTGTGAACCAATGTTATCCTTGTGTTCATGGACGTAATCCAACAGACAGCCGTGGGGCATGAGCTGTGTCACCAGCTGAATGGTGGGGCTCAGACACACCCCCAATAACCGGACTAAATGTGGATGGTCCATACTTGCCATGATCAGAGCTTCCTGTAAGAGAAAATGTAACACCATCGTTCAACTCAAAGTTCTTTACAAATAGTTGCATTGCACTAATGGTGCTGATAAGAATTTTGAAGTGCATTCTCACTAAGAAGTCAAATTAAAATAGAGATGAGCCGAAACCGGTTTGGCTCAGTGGTAGAGCGTCAGAGGACTGAAAGGTCCCAGGTTCAATTCCAATCAAAGGCATACACATTGGTTGCGGGCATATCCCCGGTAGGGGGTGTGCAAGAGGCAGCTGGTCGATGTTTCTCCCTCATGGACGTTTCTACAATAGCTCTCTATCTCTCTCCCTTCCTCTCTGTAAAAAATGAATAAAATATATATTTAAAAAAATAAAAAAATAAATAAAGTCATGATGTTGCTACTATATTCTTAGTGATCTAATTCAAGTAAAATTAAATAAAAAGTAAACACTGCACATGTATCAAAGTAGAAAATAGTGTAGAATAAGTGAATGTGAATAGCAGTATTTCCTCTTTTGTAATACAGAGTGCATTAATTGTTGTTTACTGCCTAAGACGTTGAAATGGAATCCTGCCTTATACCATGGATTTTTCACCTTTGTTCTTTGGTTCTAGAGTACAGTAATGTATACAAGTGCAGTTATTTACATGTAGAATAAGGTAATCCAAACTTGTCACCCATTATTCGTAAGCAATATACCTATTGTGTATTTATGTGAAAGAATAAATATTTTAATAAACATTTCCTCCTAAGTTTGCCTTAACTCAAATTTATTTTATTTTCAAAATTATAAGTGGCATCTTATTCATAGAATTATAAAATCTGAAAGCAAACTTGAGACTAAAAATATTGTCTAGTCCAAATTCATTGAATAGGAAACATTTTTATTTTTTATCATAATTATCAAGGCACTTTTGCTTAATGGATATAGATTTTAGTACATACTAAAGTGAGTTTCCAATGAAAAGTTATTGAAAATGTCTTTATGTGAATTTGAAACAGATATGACATTACACACACATACCCCCCCTACACACACAGGAGTATGATACATATATGACAATTATTATAATCAGTTTACCTATATGAAGGTGTGTTCATTGTACTTGAATAATTTCTGTAGCTTTAAATTTTTTTCAAACCAAAATTCTAGAACAGAAAGCTATATTGAACTTCTTTTTAAGATGGCATAGCATATTGAGTACACACATTTACTTCCATTTGCTCTCAATTCCAATTTAGTAACAATAAAAGAATTAATAAAAAGCCAGAAACCAAATATCACACAGATGAAAAATAAGGAAAGAATACTAGAAGTAGGAACTGGCTTGGCAAACATAAGAAATCTGAAGCCTAACTTGGCAAGAGGGAAACTGAGAAGAAATCTGATTTACATCACAGGTATACACAGGCTAGCACCATCAAAGGCTCAGAGTGTTAGCACCATAAACCCCTGTAAGCTGAGCAGGAGGGCACACATGAATTCTGCAAGATTCCGTCCAAGTATATTTAAGGAACAACTTTGACTACAGATCTGTTTCTTCCCTCCATCCTTAGGAGAGACTAACAAAAAGGACTGTGAACTGTACTATTAGGCACAATAGGAAGAGAAGGACTCTGATAAAAATATTAGACTTCTGCAAATTAACCCATGTTGAAAATTGGGAACAATTTCTAGTTCCTTCTTCCAGAAGGAGCTGTGGCCTCAAAATTCTGAGTTTTGTTTAAACCTTGAATTCCATACCCAGGAAAATGTTAACAAGGTGAGTGGATACACAGACATGTTCAGACACATCTGTTTATAAAAATTGTTATGTCAGGTGCTTTGTCTCTCTGTTAGATGTCTGTATTAAATAAAGAGTACATTAAATAACAGTGATGGAATACTTCAGAATAAAGGATGTGCAGCAGAATGAGATAACAGCATTCAGTCTGGAGTAGAACATGTCACTCTGAAAAGGTGATCCTAGAAGATGGAATTGATAGAATACCTAATGAGATTAAAGTGCTAGTACATTGGGAGAGCCTGGCTAGTGTGGCCAAGTGGTTGAGCATAGACCTATGAACCAGGAGGTCATGGTTCAATTCCCGATCAGGGCTCATGCTTGAATTGTGGCTCAATCTCCAATGTGGGCATGGAAGGAAGCCTATCAATGATTCATAATTGATGTTTCTATATCATTCTTCTTCTCCCTTTCTCTCTGAATTCAATTATATATATATATATATATATATATATATATATATATATATATATATCTCGTTACAATATATACAATATAATATATATTATGTTACATTAAAAGCATATGTACTTTTCTAGCAAAAGGGAAATCAAATTTAGTGATAGAAAATTATATATCTATATCTATATATATATATATAGAAAACTATATATATCTATAGCACAGATAAAAAAAATAATTTGATGTGAAAAAAGGTATTTACTACAGAACACAGCTGGAAATAGTTATATAATCATAACGTAAATGCAAAATGCTGAAATAAGCAATCATATGACTACCTTGGAAAATGAGGAGCAGGGAGGTACACTTTAGCAAGGTGGTGATGGAAAGGGTACAAATGTATATTCCTATTGTTTTAGTGAAAAGTTATTACTAGATGATGCATAAAACTGAAAAAAAAAACAAGAGTTGACCGTATAAACATATTATTTAGATATATGGAGGTAAGCTACAGGAGAAATTGCCAAAAAGTTGAAAGTGATTGCGTTGGTCCATGGAAAATGGGGTGGGAGAAGGGCGAGGTAGGTAGCTAGAGACTGCTGTTTTTCATCGTTAGCCTTCAAGAAGCACTTGGCTTTTACTGTTATTATCTCAAGCTATTTCTGAGGCTATTATTCACTTCTAACCTCCACCACTATTTCAGTGGTGTTGAGTTCAGTTGAGTTTAAAGGCTATTCACAGTTATGGGGTCTGTCTGGTGGAGTGTATATATAAATTTACTGAATCTAGCTGAAGCCTTAGGTGAGGTGTAACATTTTACAGTTTTTGAGGAAGTAAGGGTGGGACAGCATGGGCACATCCCTGAAGAAAGGACGATTCAGGTCCACATGGAAGAAATAAGCAGGTAGGATGGCATCAGCTTTACTCAAAGAACTTTGTTTTGGAGTCAGTTTTACAGAAAGTTATTTCCCAGATGCTTCCAAGTACGTTAGGTCCTCCAATCCCCCTTTCCTGAGACACCCCAGGAACTAGGTGAGTCTTAGGACAGGGGAGAACACAGGGAGACCACCAGCTCCTAGGCTTCCTGGCTGAGGCCACCCCCACCCAACACCTTGAAAATGGGAAGCCCAGAGAGGCCAGACCCCTGGCAAGGGCACTGGCATTCTCAGGGGGTGCCAGTCAACAGCACCAGGGCCAGGACCTCTCAGCGGCTCCCCCTGGGGGCAAGAACTGGTAAAAAAGACAAAGACTCTAGAAACCAGAGTGGCTGAACTGGGGGACCGGTTGATGAGTGTGTATGAGACCCCAGGAACTTCCCAAACTATTTGGGAAAGATTCACCGGGGACTGAAGTTTCTGTAGTATCTCTAAAGCCAGAAACGTGAGTTATTACTATTGATATGGCCCCATCTAGATCAGCATTTTGGCTTCACTTTCAGTATATTTCAGTAAACATGTGAAGTAGAGCAGACAGCTATAGTTACAAGAGAGTACACAGAAGGATGACAGGCAGGTGAAATGACCTCTTATGAAATCCAGTACTAAGATTAGTTGATTCATTCAGCACCAATTCATATTAAAAGTGTAAGTCAGAGGGTTCCTGTGTTGAACTGGGATACGCACACATAGAAATAGGCACACATCCCAACAAATTAGCAACACATGCTATCCAATGAATATCTAACTTAGTCAAGTACCGAATTAAATATTTAATTGGCCATTAAATATTAGCTATCTCGTTAACGTAAATGTATTCTGATTGTATTCTCCCTACTTTTCTTCCCTGGTAGCTCTCAGTCTTTCTTGTGCGTAAGGGTCATCTAAGTTTATTCCAAGTGTAGCTTCCCTGACCGCACTCCCAGAAAGTCAGGTGTGGACATGGATCAGGAGTCTGCCCTGTAACAAGCTCCCTAGATGAAGCCACTGGTGGAAACAGGAAACTGAGAACTTGTAGCACACCTCCATTAAATCTGCGTCCCTGTGATCTAATCCAAAAACAGTAACATGCAACAGTGTTTTGATCCTTATTTTAACCCTAGAAAGCAGTCGAAAGAGGTAGTAATTCTCTCCTGTAACATGAGGCACCGGGTGAGTAGGAGGATTGCTGCCTCAGGTTGGCTCCCAAGTGAGCAGCAGGATCAGTTTTAAGACTCCAGCTTGCTGATTCATATTGCAGTGCTATTTATTATGATAGGGAAAATATAATTATTTTTACTTCGGTTCAGTCAGCCCTCCGCACTGTAAATGCTTGTCTTAACAAGAAGACAGCTTCAGATGCCTGAATTAGCCAGACCTGTCTAAATGAGGTTTACTTCAACTTTTAGTTCCTGAGACGCAACTAAAGGCAAACAACAAATTTGTGCTTACAGCTAAACTGCTATCACTTATAATAAGCTTTCAGAAAAAGAATCTCTCTGATTTCCTAAGACTGTTATCTGGTGCAGACCATTTCTTAAGATAAAAAAATAATAAAACTATAAATAAAAGAGAGATTTTGAGTTTAGTTCAAGCTTCTTTTTAGCATGGAATACATAAACAATAAGTGTGTGTGTTTTTTTTTTCTTTACAACTCAAGGAATAATGATAATTCTTTTCTAAATATGCATTTGAAAAGTTTATAACAGCAGAATGTGAAAAAATCACTTGGAAGTTCTCTCTTAAAAAATCTATTAGTAAGTCCTGGCAAAAAAAGCTGGGTTGTATTAAGGAAAATTGCTCATTACACTACAAAGAGTATTTGAAACAAAATTGCAGAGTATTTGCATAATAGTTCTCTCTCTCTCTCTCTCTCTCTCTCTCTCTCTCTCTCTCTCTCTCTCTCTCTCTTTCTCTCTTG